GAAAAAAATTTTAAAAAATAAATCTAATAAAAGATAAGAAAAATATCTGACGAAGAGAAAAGAGCCTATTTATAGTTAATTCTTTTGCAATGAGCACTCGCAGCAGCATTGAGGCACGTAAACGCATTAATATGCGTCAGCTCTGACCAAAGCCGCTTGAAAGCACTTGAAAGGAAGCGAAAATCAGACAAATTCTGACAACATTAAATATGTATGCATATATGTATATACATTTGAATGTTTGTGTGAATACACAATTATTTTTAAATATTTTTCTAAAAACTACTGCACGCAAAGGCCAATGATTCAAGCTATGATGTGTTTTGGAACTCATGAGTCCATTGATATTTACTTTGCTACTTATAATTCTATATACATTGTATATACATATGTCCATATGATACATTGTATATACATATGCACATATATACAAGTATACTATTATGGTAAACCCATTTGCGAAGTTGTTACGTATGGAAAATGAAACCAAAGAAAATGTATTGCAAGAAGAATAATTAATCAAATAAAAGCTTAATGCCAAGTAGCTAAAGAACGTGTATGTTTGTATGTATATGTTTAAGTATGTACCAAAATGTATTGTTTCATAATCAATAACATTAATGACAATGCAAATGATTGGCAGGCTTTTTATTTGCCAATGAAGTGATCGACATTTACGCGGGGCCAAAATAACCCAATCGGCCGAGCACATAAGGAATCCATGCTTCTGAGCAAATTAAACGCTGTAAATCTCATTACAGGAAGAATCCGCTGAATTAAAGCAAGAATGATCAATACGAGAAAAACAACAAAAATAAATAAATAAATAAATAAAAACAAGATAAGAGGTTCAGCTTGATTGCGCTTCCAAGCGCTGTCAATATTCGTTAGCATATACACACACATATGTATATGTTATGTATGTACTGYGTAAGCAAGCAGACAAGCCTTTGGCTAAATCCATTAAGCAATGAATTAAATGGAAAAAGGCTTAAAAGCCGCAAAGCATACAACGAATTAACAGTTAGTTGCAACACAGCCTCAATCCCAGCGAAGTCAGGCTGAAATGGAAATGCCAGTGARGCTCAGCGTGKCGTGTAGCGTAGCGCGGCGTGATAGGGCGAGGGGGCGAGAGGGTGAGGCTGGTCGCGCACATGGCATGGCGACAGCATAAGCAAATACACACACATGCATATGTATACGTGCCGTAAAGGGAAATGACCGCAAAAGCATGCGAAACTAAAATCAAAGCAGAATACTCACGCGTACAAACAATACAGTAACAACAACAACAACAATGCGCATGGCAACAACAAGGCCTGGCTGTAATAATGCAAACAACCAGCAATGGCGCAACAATCGCTGATGACAATAACCTTAAGACAACAAGCAAGCAACAACAACAAAAACAACAATATATTGGAAACAACCGGCCTCCCGGCGCAGGGAGGCCCAACCGTGTGTTCGGAAGCCTGTGTGTGTGCGCACAGAACTTCGTTCCCGCAATGCTATAATAAGAACACACACAAAAAAAGAACAAACAACAACAGCAACAAAAACAACAAAAGCAAGTAAAGCGTATCTTTAAAAACAAAAGCATCGCTGCAAAAATGTAAAGAACCTTATTAAGCGAGCCAAAAGCGGATTTCGGCATAAATTTGCCGTTTGCTAAGCACAGCATTCCTGCATCTCGGTGCCGTCTAGCGCGTTGCGCATGCGCCATGCGGCAGTACGTTGCATGTGACTCAGGCTTGAGCAGACGCAGCACGACACAGCGTGATGGTGTCGGTGATTTGCAGTGCCGTGCAATATTTTATGTTGCAAGCAATAAATTGCTGTTCGATACAATGGAGTTTTTAAAGTGTTTGGCCTTCTTTGAAGCGCGTTTGATTTTGAAATCATTTAAAGTTAGCTATATAGTACATACATACAAGTATATTTCAGAAAAATTGCTTTTTAAGTCCAAATTTCAAAAAACTGTTCCAAACGATATTGTTCCAAATATATAGATGAGAACATGTCATAGAATATTTACTTTACCATTATTCTATTATATGTATGTTCGAGGTGTGTTGAAAAAATAACGGAACTTTTATTTTCTGAAGAAAAATATTTATTCACGCAACTACTTAATGTTTTCGCCTTCAAATTAATCCCCATTCGATATTATGCATCTATGAGAGCGCTTCTACCAAACGACGAAACACATCTCAAACTCGATTCTTACTTATCTAATAAAACGGCAGTATCTTTATAATTGGAAATATGATAAAGTCACATGGTGTCATGTCTAGCTGGGGCATCGTTACAGTATTCATTGGCCAAGAATTGAGGTGTGAGKGAGTTTGTAACAACCGTAAATCTCCAATCTCTCAAAACGAATTCTATTCTTAGCATCTGCTTAAGCCAAAGTAAGCGATTAATACCGCTGAATATCGCACTCAGGTGCATGCACATTTATCAAAATATTAAAAAAATTGACAATTGAACTTTTTCAGCCCGCGAAATTTTACATATTTTCCATTATTTTCTGTATACACTTCGTAAAATGTAAGGAAGAACTATCAAAATCATTCTCCTTTATAAAGTTACTGACAAGAAATTATTGTCTCTTACGCGAACTTTCATTATAAGATTTCAACGAGCTAAAAGAGACTCAACATTCTCTAGAATCTTATTGAAAGCCAGAGACTTGCTTCTGTTCKTTTAGGTACACACTTGTATAACAGCATCAGGAAAACACAATGTCAAACGTCTTCAAACGAAACAGGCAATCATACAATTTTCACACCTTCGAAGGGAACATAAATAAAGATATTTCTATAGAGAAAACAAAKGTTGGATGAATGCAAATTATCAATCGATTTAATGTAGATATAACTACAAAAGTTTGGTTATAAAGGATTTGATCGAAAGCATGTTAGTTGACAAGATGTGAGGCCCCTAACCACGCCACACGCCAACTTTTCAGTGTGCAGATGGATTTTTAAGGGGTTACATGGGTTTACGGGTTTCAAAAATCGAATTTTTTTAATATCTTACTAAATTCTACAATAYCTCCAGAATGTTGTCCTCAACTTTCAAGTTGAGCCGAGTAATAGTTYCGGAGATACAGAATTGAGAAGTTGTGTGCTCGAGGCTAGCTGCGCCGTCTTTAAACGAGTATTTCTCGAAACATTGAACATTGAACGAATTGATTACTCGACAACTACTCGATACTCGATAACTACTCCACCGATCTTCATGAAATTGTACACAGGTTTTTGAGATAAAATTCTAATAGACTTTAACGAGGTTTTCTTTGTTTTTTGATTGCCACTATTTGCAAAAAAAAAATTGTCGAGAAATTTTTTTTTTGTCTACTAATACTAATACTAGTCCCTTAGTTTTTGATATATCACTCGGAAATTTTGAAGATGGCTTTTTTTAATGAAGAAGGTGCTCATTTGTCAAAAGCGCCGATAGTGTTGCGTATAGCATATAGCTACCATACGAATTTGATGCTCAAACATTAAGTTCCTGTATGAAGAACTTTTTATTGGATTTAACATTAAGTTMMTGTATRAAGAACTTTTTTMTTTGTCAAGAAATCGTCACAAAACTTCACATAGATTATTGTTCATTGTCTGAAGAATATTTCTAGAACAAACTACTAGATGATATGCTACCATACAAACTGATTGATCAGTTTTTTTGATTTAAGAGAGATGTCTCCACAAAATATGGTATTTATGTGGACTGTATATGCGTTGAAGATATATTTCAGATCGAAGCACTATAGCTTACAGTTTCCCTGTAAACTGGTCGATCAAAATCCAGTTGCTGTATAGAAACCTTTTGGGTCGGCTTTAGTATAGCGTCCCAGGATTTCGGGAATAAAATGGGTATAGTCGGATAGAGGAGATTCTCWAGATCAAAATAGCCGCTGGAAGATAATAGTTTTCGAGATATTCTCACTTAAAGTTGAAAATTACCACTATTTGAAGTACGTTTTTTTCTCGATATTATACATTTTAGGTAAGTTACAGATTTTCCTTTTTTTAACTTAAAATTTTTTTTTTTTCACACTTGAGCATATCCTATTTGATTAATGCTTTGCTGCATCTTACAGAGTTCTCTGGAGAGCTACACCTCACCAACGCTAATTATTTCTAAATATCAGAAGCCATATATATGTATAGCTTCATAGCTATATTTACATTAGGGTGATTAAAAAAAAAAAATAATAAAAATTTTTTCGTTTGGTGCTCTGAAAAATAGGCTCCTAGACACCTCTAAGGAAGTCTCTCCCAGAATGAGTTCTTAATTGTAACGCGAAGATCCTCCTACTTACAGTTTTATATTTTTTCTTATTATCTGATAGAAAAGCTTATATCTCGCTTCCAACCACTTCAAAAAATATTTTGTTCTTTAGGTTTTGTAGAAAATTGAATGCTCTACAAAAAAGATCTCATACGATTTTTTTGTAAACGCAACCGTTTAAAAGATATTAACGGTTGAAGTTTGATTATTTTTCGGAAAAACTTTTATTTTTTATGAATTTTATAACTCAATGAGAAGGACCTTCCCGTTACAATTAAGAACTCATTCTTGGAGAGGCTTCCTTAGAGGTGTCTAAGAACCTATTTTTCAGAGTACCAAATGAAAAAAAAAATAATTTTTTTTGAATCACCCTAATGTAGTAAATATATACATATATTGTACATACGTACATACATATGTACCTGTATCTGTCCACATGGTTATAATGCAGAATGYGTACACCTCTCCCCACCAACACTTGCCACATTTGCTAGAAAACAGYAGCGTGAGCGCTATCATTTATGGTAAATGCGTCAAACGCCTTTGGCAAACATGGCAAACAAAAGAAACGCAAGTAGGAAGCAAAGCTATGCGCTAGCTAGTGCATCTTCATCCATTCGTATATATGTAYTTCTATCCATAGTATTTATACGTATGTAAGTGAGCGCTTACCAAAAAAGTCCTCCCAGCGTTCCGAGTCGTCTGATTCTATATCCATTTTGGTGTTGTGACTCAAACTACTTAACGTTGTCGCGTTGAGAATATTATGTTGTTTTTGCTGTGGTTGTACACGAAACACTGTACGGCGCAATTATATATATTTGTTTTTGTTTTTGTATACACTGATTTGTGATTTGTTAGATAGTGTGGAAAWATTTTATGAAATACATTGACAGTAGCAGCTACTTTGTTGCGGTGTTGCCTGCAATGTTGTTTGTTTTTGTTAATTTTATTTTTATTTGCGCGTCTAACGCTGCTTTACTGTTGCACTTACGCGTTGCTGTTGTTATTTTTAAAATGCTTACATTTATTTGCTTCTTTTCTTGTTGCGATTTAAGGCGATGAAGTGTTGTGATAGGTGTTGTTTTTGTGATGTTGTTGTTGTTAATGTTTTTGTTGTTAACGTTTTTTGCTACTCTTGTTGGTAGTTTTTTGTTGTTGCTGGTTTTTATTGTTGTTGGCTTTTGTGGTTATTGTTCTTGTTGTTGTTTTTGTTGTTATTATTACTTTTGTATTACTTATTATTGTGTCGCAGTTTATCTTATTATTTTTGTAGGTGGTTGCTGTCGCTACTGTTTTGTTTTTGTTGTTGTAATTGTTTTTGTTTTGTTGTTTTTTTGTTGTTGTTGTTGTTTTCGTTTTCGTTGTTATTGTTTTTGTTATTAGATGCTGCCTTTATAGCTTTTATTCTTGTGATTTCTTTTATTGTTGTTGTTGTTGCTGCTGTTCAAAGCCTTATTTAGCCACAATGATAGCTCAACATTTTCTAAGAAGAATTTGCGCCGCGACACTTTAAGCCCATTTGAAGTGATTTTCAATTATTTTCTCTTTCCCCTCTTCTGGCCTCCCTCTGCACTTGCACGCTGGCTGTGCTGCGTTTGTATAAAATTTTCTTGCTTATTCTTTTCGCACAGTCACACACAGTCGCACCGACATTCATAACTGTTCGACGTTATTGCGTGCGCGCGTGCACTTTCAGTTACACACGCACACACACACATATGCATGCGCGTTGCAGTATGCAGCTGATAGCACGTTTATGGGCAAACAATGTGCAATCTACTTTTCTGCTCGTGTGTCTAGATTTGTTAGTTGCTTGGGCAAGCAGTGTGTAGCATGGAATGTAAGCTTTTGCAATAATTCCCACAATTGGTAAGCGATAGATAGTTGTGTGTTTGTTTGTTTGTTTGTATATATGTATGTATGTTTATATGCCAGTATATTTGTGCGTGTGCAAGTCTGCTTTAGAACCTTAGAAACACGCTAGCAACACGTAGGTACTTTTTTCAGGCACTTACTCTTTTTTTAGCAATTCACAAATAAGTTGRTGCACTAGGGCGTATACGCAATCACAAAAAAATATAAAAAATTGCATATTAAATATTTTCGCAATTTTTCGCAAATATCGTTGCGTAACATGAACTGCAGCRCTGCCTCTGCGCCATTTTAATTAGTTCACACGACTACTGCTGGACGGCTGCAGCACTTCAAGGGCAACTGGGACTGATTGCGGAATTATTGGTATTTTACGACGACTTGGCAAACAACTTGCAGGCGTTTTGCCTCATTCGTACCGTGGTTCACCCGGCCAACTGGCTCATAACTCAATGCCTTATCGACAGTTTGCTTTTGTTCGCAGTCTTGGTGATAAGATAGCTAGCTAATAAGTGCTGGCTGGCTGGCAGTTTCGTGGCTGTTGGGGACTTTTGGGTCATAAAATGTATTTTTTTTTTGCTTCTTATTTATTTTTGTATTTTTTTTTGCACTGTTAGCACAATTTTGCTGTATTTTAGTGTATGACTTGCTTTTGATTTTTTTATTTATTTTTTTATTATTTTTTTTTGGAAGTTTTTAGAACTTTTTTTTTAATTCTTTTTGAGCACCAACCAACACAAAGAAATTGCGAAATTGCATATAATTGACGCTCGTTGGCAAGCGCTTAATTTACACGCTCGATTTGCTCGCTTATAARTACGTGCTAATGGTGTTTTATCTTATCGCCGACATGCACGGTCGCGGAAAGTATTCACTGGCAGTTTTGATAATAATTTTTATAAGCCTATTGCTTTTGTGCAGCAGCGTCTTACGCGAGCAAAGTTGAACAAGCTTGTACAGACATATACATAAAGTTGTTGTTGTTGCCTAGTAATGCTTATTTAACGCTTTTTTAATAATTCTAAGCTGCACTCTTATTCTCAAGTGATAATAAAAAAAATATATTTTCTTATGTTTCAGCGCAACAACAAYCCAATAAGCCGCACACCTTTACCGGAATTTATCGCCGCAACCTTGCTTCACCCCCGCGCACCTWACTGCCGCTCTCAAGTTCGCTCTGGCACTCTGTCGCGTTCGCGTCTGATTATTATTGTTCTATATTGTTGCTGTTGTTGTGTTTCTTAGAAGCGCGCGCTGACTAATGCTTTTCAGCCTTTGTTTTTATTAACTTGAGTCGTTTAGCGACACACACACACACACGCATACACGGAGATTCTCACTGTAAACACCAGCGCCCAGCTGTCGATCAAGCGGCTAATTTCTTTGCAAAACTTGCGCGCACAACAACAATAAAAATTTWGAGAAAAAAATATGCGGAGGAAATGGTCAATCAATTCAAGCAATAAAGTTCGCCGTGTTGTTATGATTTTGTCGAAACTTCGAAACTACAAAGCAATGTTGCAAAGCGAAATRGCAGCGAATGGAATTTGTTTGTGTTTTTGACGTAGAAATTYAAACAATTGCCGCAAAGCTTGCTTGTAGTTGSAAATTGAATGGTGATTGGCAGCAAYGCTCAACTTTGCACGCTTCTTTAACAACTTTGGTGCGTTTTTGTTGTTTTTGTTGCTTTTGCGGTTTTTGCTTTCATGCATAAATTATATTAATAACTTCGAGTGACATTTCGCTTTCATCAAAATTTTTATTGTTTATTACTCTTTCTGCTTTTCCTTTTCACCTCCGCCAAATAAACCGTTTTAGCGAGTTTCGCACACTTTGCAGTCACATGCTACCAATGCAAATCATTCGTGCAGCAAAAAAATTACTTTAATAGCAATTACTTTGCCGTTAAATGCGCTTACWTATGCATATTTTATTATTAAAATTAAAATTTCTTTACTTCACTTAATTTCCGCCTRCCTTACAAGCGTCACTTTTTGAGAAATTACCATTTAACCGCCGATCTGACTCATTTGTGCGACGCTCGAAAGAAAACTGAATTCAATTTGAGCATTTTGCTCCCACGAATGCCCCCAAACAAAGTCAGCCAAACAGCCCACTAAGCAAACCAGCAAGCAGGCCGAGAAGCAAGCAATCGAGCRAGACACGCGTTCGATCGTGCCAAGATACTTTGGCTCTTGGTACACTTTGACTCCAGCTAGCGGCTACCTTACTGAAGTTAAGCTGCAATGCAACAGATTCGTTGCAACATGTTCGCTCCGGCAGGTAAGCGKCAAGAGAGAGAGCATGAGCGAACGCTTGGAAGCATGCAAGCCACTTGCATGTGTGTGTTTGTGTCTTTTTATCTTTTCGTTACACTTTGTGTTAACTGATCTTATCAGCGTGTATACTTAATATTTGGCTATGTAGTGGTGAGTATGTCGCGAGCAATCTTTTTGGAGCTCATCAATAATTAGTGTGATTTACTTCYCACTGATAAGCGTATAAAAAAGTGCCTCTGAACGTTACTTGTTATAAATTATTGTTAACAAGAAAAATACATACTCTGAAGAAGATGGTTACTTCTTGGTAGTGTTTGTATTAATTGATGATTGTGTTGAAATAATTTGGCCGTTTAGTACTGGTTTAAGGTATAATTTAGCTGCTGCTAAGTGACTTTTCTTACATTTGAGCAGAAAGCATTAGCAGGCGCTATTGTCTCTCACTTATCCCTTTCAGACCTTCAATACACAATTGTGCGGGTAAGACTAAAAATATGTTTCGCTTATTATTTGCTTCGCTTTACTACGTGTTAAGACCCGAAAGCAATAGTTGTGCCATTTATTTCTAACGGTTACTTTGATTTTTTGTATATTTTTGTCACAATTTGCAAAGTTTTGAAGTGTTCAGCCGTGTTGTCAAGAATGGAAAAAGGTAAATTKAAATAAATTTTGTGCAGTGTTTAAGTTTTGTGATGTTTTGCAAAAATGTGTATTGAAAAATATTAAATAAACTATATGTATATTGTCTTATTGTGAAAAAATTCGAATTAAATTAAGTGTTTTGAACAAGTCTAAAAAAGGACCACACAATTGTGCGCTTCAGACTTTGATCTCGCATTTTCATT